TCGCTTAGTATGAAAACTGAAAGCCACTCCTGAAGTTGATAATTTATAGATTTCCATTAAATGCGTTAAAATAAAGAAATGGAATATCATAGTGTATGATGTACGAATGGCATCGCTATCAAACCAAATTTTTAAAATGAAAAAATTTGTTGTACAGGCATATTTGGAACACGAAAATCTGTTTAATCACATAGTGTCGAAGTAGCTCCAATTTACGTCGACCCAATATGCATCCATTCCGACGAAGTTGAAGTGGAGAAAGAAGCGAGGAAAACAAAACTGAAGTTAATAATTGTTTTGACAGATTAGTTCGAGATGCGGAAACACCGACCGATTTATGGAAAAGTTTACGTAATAGGTATGAATATAATAAATGGATGCAGGGAATCGCTCTTTACCAACAATTCATTCGATTCGCTTGATGGAATCGATCGCAGAGTGGGTACGGCCTGAAAGCCACATCAGAAATGTTCTGAAATCTAGTGATGGCACATCAGAGACTTTTTTGAAATTGTTTGATAATTTTGAAAAAGGTGCCTATTAAACGCGGTGCCCATCGTAATTTTTTATCAGTTTGTTTCAAGAAAAAAATTGTGTCAGTCAAAAAATTACGTATGATTTCAGAAAGCTGATTTGCCATTTGATTGTGATGTCGTTTTTGAGGATGAATTTTCCAACCCTATGTAAGCAATGCATTTGGGTATCTTGGTTGATTTTTAATTCTCGGATTATCATTTTTCGAGATACTACAAAGGAGCCTCCTTTTCAAGCCCTTGGGACCTATTGCACCTATTTTTCTTGCTTATTTATTGTCGTCTTACCATTAACCAGCCACTAAAATTTGATTGTGATGTTACATTATGTGCAGCTTCCAAAAGTGATTTTTTCAACAGCCTTGGATGGCATTTTATTTTCGGGAGAGGGGCGAGGCGGAGAGGGAGGGAGAGAGGGGGAGAGAGGGAGAGATGTTACTACAAGATATGAACAAGAAGTTGGAACAACAAGTAAAGATTAAAGAAGATAAATTGAAGGTGAGAGAAGAAATTAGTAATAAAAATAAAAGTATTAGAGGAATGAAGAATTATACCACAGGATTTTTGAAGCAGGGGATAATCAGAGAGAAGAGTAACCCATTAGTAACGATAAAAAATAAAAAATGAAGTAAGTTTGGGAGAGTTTAAAGAGGAAAGAAGAATAATTCGAAGTCGAAGTTGAAGTGATGAGAAGCAATATTTTGAATTAAAAGAAAAGGAAGAAAAGAAGAAATATAATATGGGGAAGTACTAAATGAAACATTGAAGTGAAAAGTCTAAATAGTTTGTTAAATATAGTAGTGTAGTCAAAGTTGAGCTTAGTTATATGAATTTGAGTTTATTGAAGTGAAGTTCAGTGAACATCGTAAATAGTTATTTGGTATGTTTAGTAAAGTTTCTTGAAGATTAGTAATGAAGCCAACTGAAATCCAGTGAAGTGAAAGGAAGTGAAGTGTAAAACAATTGGTTTTTACTTTTTTTATGGAATAGATACCTACATATATTGGGTTTTCAAATTGAATAGGTTAGCTCTTAGGAGTTTTTTGGCATTGATTTTTTTTTAGATTTTAGGATATTTGAGGATAGCTAGCCATCATGTTCAGGTAGGAAATTTTTTAGTACGTTTGACAGTTTATAGAATTTTTTTGAGAAATTTCCCGTTTCTTTTGTTGTCGTTTTTAAAACCTCATCAGGTTTTCGTTTACAAAAAAACAGAAGAGGGTACTGTAACAGTCGCATTAGGTTGGATTAAATTTTCTCACAGAAATACGTAAACTAGTATTTGTAAAGCTGTAAAAATGTAAAGGTTCCGGAGAGTCTTCCCCAAATACTTTTAGCCGTGGTAAAGTAAAAAATTTATTTGGTCGACTGTAATATCATGAGCTCGTGGATATTTCTGCGCCCGGGTGAGGGCTTAAATCCGTTTTAGGGGGCATACAGTATTACATTAGTAAACTCACATCAAATAAAGTCAACGTAGAATTCGCGGAGCGTGCATGTTCTGCATTTTCATGAGAAGACAGCAAAGTTTTGGAAAGATTTGAGTTAGTCGATGGCATAGGGTAATTCATTTTATTTTGTTCAGGTTTGCCTAGTCTTGGAGCTTTGTTAATTGAAGGAAAGGTTCAATCCTTCATTAAAACGAAGACCGTTGCACTGGTTGCAATACACGCATTTGAACGACGGATATGTTTAGAGGCTTCTACTATTTTCATCGAGGTGATGCAGACTATTTTTTTTGGGCCCGCGGTAGAAGGAAATAATCATTTCAAATCAATGAACATATTTAGCACCCGTTTAGTATGAAACATGGCGAATTGTAAATTAAAATGCACATCCTTCCGCGGTATCGAAATTAATACGCTGCATAGCAATTTTTTTTTTTTTTGTCAGGTGGGGAAATGCATTATGCACACTCCGGATGGAAAAGTCCGGAGTAGTGTGGGACTCTCACCCACTAAAACCCCACCTGAGGCTTCGGCTTCTAGGGCCATTCGCCTTTATACATACTTTTACACAGAAAAAGATGACTATATAAGTACAATGGGACAGAAACGGATCTAGTTACATTTATTAACATACAAAACCAACAATTTAAAAATATCATAGATCATTTGCTATACCAATTCTTTGGATAAAGGCAAGAGTATTTTTACATTGCTCTTTGTTTTTAAAGTTATTTTCCCATGCAGGGTCGATATTAAAGAGCACACGTACATCTGTGTACTGCGGACAGACAGAAATAATATGATGTGGTGTTAAAATAACACCACATTGTTCGCATAGTGGCCGTTCTTCGCCCGCCAACAAATATCCATGAGTGAGGGCAGTATGCCCCAGCCGGAGTCTGTACAGCCTGATCAAGTTCAAACGCCCAACGTCGATATAAAATAGCGGATCCAGACTCTGTTTGATCTTCTTCAAAGCCGTATCAGTCTCCGACCACTGTTCACTCCACCGCTCATAAATTTTCGTCTTCACAAGTTCACGTCGTGCAATAGATGACATATTCGTAAAGTCAACGTTATCCAGTTGGAGATAGTTTAATACCTCTCTAGCTCTAACACCTAACGATCTACATCTATTTAGCCGAGCAATTGTAGTTGCATCAGTAAGTGATATAAAATTTGGATGTTTATCATCTATCCTTACTTTTATATAATTTGGATGTATAATAGTTTGCAACAATCTGTTTCCGGCGTAGAGCTAGAGGGGGAATATTTGCCTCGACGTGGAGCGATGTTACCGGACTTGTTGGATATGCTCCCAAAGAGTAGCGAATGGCCAGGTTCTGAATCTTGTCAAGTTTCTCAAGCAAAGTATTACTGCCACATGTAGAGTACGCTGCACATCCATAATCCATCCTTGACAGGATGAGGGCCTTATAAATATCTAGGAGGGTCTTAGGGTGAGCTCCCCACCTATGATGAGCTAGAACTCTCATAATGTTCAGCGATTTTCTACATGTAGCCGCAACATTCTCCAAATGCTTTGACCATCGTAATTCCCTATCAAAGGTAAGTCCGAGGAACTTGACTTCTTGGACAACACTGATTATACGATTGTTCATAAACAAAACGGGGTCATAGTGGGGCTTACGGAGTCGACAAAAGTGAACAACCTTTGTCTTCTCCTCCGACAGCACGTACCCGACAGCATTGGCGTTATGACAAATGATGTTAATTGCCGTTTGTAGGTTTCGAGTTATTGTGCCAACCGTCTTACCAGAACAACAAACCATTAAATCGTCTACGTATAAGCATTTATCAATTGACTCCTCAACACCTTTGGCTATTTCATTTATGGCGATGCCGAACAGGGAACAACTGAGTGTTGACCCCTGCGGCACACCATTTTCTAAAACATACTCTTTGGAGTTGATATCGCCGATTCTTACACAGAACTTCCTATCCTCTAAAAAGGATTTTATAAATTTAGGTAAATTCCCTCGAAGATTGTTTTTATACATATTTTGCAATATTCCATATCTCCAAGTCATGTCATAAGCACCTTTTATATCGAAGAAGACCGCAACCAGATGTTCACCACTGTCAAATGCCCTCAGAATTCTGTCTGTCAGTTTGACCAGATGGTCTACCGTTGACCGTCCTTTCCGAAAACCAGTTTGGTAAGGCACGTATACGTTATTGCTTTCGAGAAATGTTTGTAGCCGCACATTAACCATTTTTTCTAGCAGTTTTCCCAAGCAAGATGTCAAACTAATTGGGCGATAACTTTGTGCCTGCAACGGATCTTTTCCTGGTTTCGGTATAGGAATTACGATGGCTTGCTTCCATTCTGAGGGGTAGGTAGAATCATTCCAGCAGTTGTTGAAGAATCTTAAGATGGTATTTTTCATTTCAGAACTACAGTGGCGAAGCATCTGGTTATGGATAGCGTCTTCTCCCGGTGAACATGACTTGGTGTTACGGATTGCTGCCTCCAATTCTTCTACAGTAAAAGGTACGTTACAGTTCTGTATATCATCTGTGTTAAAGTCAATTAATACTGCTTCTTTTTCAGGTTTGGTATCTAGAATGGTGTTGGAATAGTTTGACGAGCTACTGACTTTATAGAACTGATCTGCAATTATGTTAGTTATGTCTTGCAGTTTATTGGTAATTATTCCATCGGATTTGCGCAAAAACACCGGATGACTGCAGCTGTTTTTTCCAGATATAGCTCCGACTTTCTTCCAGACATCATTACTGGTAGTCTCTGGTGTCATGGTTGTTACATAATGTTGCCATGAAATTCTTTGGGCTTCTAGTATTCCCCTACGACACTGAGATCTTCGTTTTTTGAACTCTACAAGATTCTCCAACGTAGGATTTCGACGAAATTTATTTAGAGCTTTTTTCTTTAATGCTATTTTTTCTTTGATTTCAGGTGACCACCACGGGACCATCTTTCGCCTATTGCCAGGTTTAGATTTAGATATGCTGGCGTCAGCGGCGTTTATGATGGAAGAGGTAATGGTTTTAACATTTAGATTGTCTTGATTAGGAGGGACGAGGACTTGTGTGAAGAGTTCCCAATTTGCTAATTGGATTTTATATTTAGCTATCGTTTTTATTGGAAGATTGTGACCCCTGACTGTGATAATAATGGGAAAATGGTCACTATGATGTAGATCATCTTCCACCTCCCATTTCAGGCTAGTATGTATACCTGGTGAACATACTGATACATCGATGGAGTCAAATGTGCCTGATCCTGCATTGAAAAATGTAGCGGAGCCATCATTTAGTAAGCTTAAGTTACTATTTTCAATCAGGTCCAACAATTCTTTCCCTCTAGCATCATTTGATCTGGAGCCCCAAACGGTGTTGTGGGAATTAAAATCCCCAACAAGAATAAATGGTGGTGGAAGCTGCCCAATAATTTTTCGAATTTCTTCGACATCATAATTTATATTGGGAGTGTAAATATTACAAAGTGTACACGATCTACTAATTTCAAGTTTAACGGCTACAGCCTGGTAAGTTGTATGTAATTTAACTTGTTTATAAGGTGTTCCTTTGTGAATGAGAAATGCTACTCCTCCACAGGCTCTTGCAGGTGAGTAGAAATCCTTTCTAATTAAACTGAAATTTTTAACATTGTACTTTGTTCCAGGTTTTAAATGTGTTTCCTGAATGGCAACACACAATGGTGTGTGCCTTTGTATAAGTAGTTTTAGTTCATTTAAGTTGTTGGATAGTCCTCTACAATTCCATTGTATAATTTTTGTACCCCTTTCGAAGATTTTTGTATAAAAAGACAATCACGGTGAAATAAATAACATAAATAAATAACAAATAACAATGTATATGGGACTATTACAAATAAAATGAACAGATAACTAGGATATCACAGATTGTATCACAAATTAATTGGTACAAGACCCTCTTGGCCCCGAATTGCGGGGTTTCCTGGGTTTGCCTTTCGGCCACCCTTTCCTCTTCCTCTGTTGCTTTGCCTCAGTAACTTTATCATCATCTACAGATGTGACACTCGATTCCCTAGATCGAGACAAAGCGGGAGACGTCTTACGTTTAGACCCCCGCGTCTCTGCGTCCATACCCTCTACCTCTGACGCCGTAGTAGGGTCCGAGAAATTAACGCTGTTCCCGGGAATTGATATGGGAACTTCTACAACAGTTGGGGGAGGTTGTACAATTAATCGGTTTGTGGTGAGTATTCTCATTAATGCCTCCATTTCTTCCTTAATTATTTTTCTAATTTCAGGACCGACAGGTTGTACGGGAACTGACGTTGGTACTGAAGCAACCTGTGCAAAAGATGTGCTGGGATTCACTGTCCCAACTTTCTTTTTTGCTTCCGAGTACGACAGCTTTTGTATCACCTTCACCTCCTGTATTTTCATTTCCATCTTGAACACTGGACATGTTTTAGTGACCGCTTTATGCGGCCCTTTGCAGTTTGGACATTCGATGGGTTCTCCGCAGGTAGTTCCTTCGTGTACAGGTTTTCCGCATACGCACCTCTTATCATGCTTACAATTTACAGCAGAATGTCCGAATCTTTGGCAATTAAAACATCTAAGTGGATTTGGTATATACGGACGCACCTGCAAGGGGTAAAACGCCGCTTGGATTGTCCGTGGTAATCTCGGGGTATTGAAGGTAAGTATATGGTTTGCAGTGTCTATAAACACTCCATCCCTCCTTGTCCTAATCCTCCTAACGTCCACTACACCTTGACTACTTAGATTATCTTTTATTTCCTCAATAGAGCAATTCAAAAGATCGCGACAGAAAACCACTCCCTTTGACGAGTTAAGCATCCCATGGGGTACTACCTCAACTTCAAAATCGCTAAATCGCGTACAGTTACAAAGTAATCTCGACTGCTTCTGTGATACAGTTTCAACCAAAAGATCTCCTTTCATCTTCTTAACGTCTTTTACTTGACCAACAATGCCATACAAAACCTTACTTATCAGGAAGGGACTTACAGATGTAAAATCGCCTTCCTTCCTTTTAATGACCAAGAACCGGGGCACTTCATCCACCTTCTCATTGGCCATGTATTCTCTTCCAGGAGCATTTACATGCGTCGAGGCCTGGTCGCCTGCCAACGACGCCGAGCAGCCGCTTAATATCGACCGGGTGAGGCCTGCCCGCTCCGCCTCGCTCATAAATTAGATTGCTCGGAACAGCGATTCTTTCTGGAACAATTTTCTATTAAATAATCGCATCTCTCTAGTTCTACAGTGCAGAGCCTTAATAAAAAGTATTAATAGAACCAATTTATTGTCCACAATAGTTCTGCTTCTGCGCCCTTCCATTGTAAGGGCGATTTGCTTCTTTGAATTGGATTTATAATTAATGGAATCCTTTTAGGAAGTTGATGGTTGGACGCGATTGTAGTTTGTGGAGAAATGATTTAAAAGCGTTTCCAGATCTTTCTATGTGTCTAACTCCAAATTCCGCACCCACACAAAACAATGTATATAACAATAAAGCTCTTAATAATTTTCAGTAAGCCAAATTTCAAAGCGCGTATTTAGGCAAATGTTAGGTTCATAGCAATTGTGTTGTTTTATGCGCCGGTTTTTCACGTTACAATAGTTTCCGGCCGTTAAATTTAATATACCTACATTAAACGTAATTAAAATTATAAAAAAGGAAAATTAAATTATTTTCGGGTGTAAAATTTGTGAAATGAATATTTTACCTCTACTGTAGTAAATTTGTTATTCTCATATAAAAGGAATACGTTTACTGAGATCAATAAAACTTGTACCTTGATTGTACTATGACTTACTCACTTTAAATCCAAAAGATCACACAATAAAATTCATTTCACTATCGATAATCCCCAAGCATGCATTCCTCCGTATATCCAATATATCGAAACCGCAAGTAAAACCTAACGTGTTTTCCTTTCGAGAAGTTCCATGTAATAAATTCGATCTACAAAAATACCTGTTACTTTACCTCCTCAAAAGTGGAAAAGTCCGATGCATGAGGGCAGGCTGGACCCTTTCATTGTGTAGTGTTTTGGAGAGTTTCCACTTTATCATGTGTCAATCTGCCGGTCAGTCATAATTCATTCAAAGTTCGCAAAGAAATTTAGAAAGACATCTCAATGCCTTTGGCTACCGAACCAATATCAATACTTAGTTGTATTACTTGTACAGGGCAATTCGGAAGTCTAATCAGTACCTATTGCACACCTAAATTTCCCCTGCGGAAATGACTAAGAAAATGTTTGAAATATCAAAGATCATTATTATAGATTATCAGAATAGATCTACCCGTTCCGCATTTTAGACGGAATTCTAAAAGTTTATCAAAAGTCTTCGGTTTCTTTTTGACAAGAGTTTTAGAAAACACCATTAAAGAAACTTATAGAACTATCCAGAATCCGAATCACAACTCTAAAATTATACCAAGAATCGTTTAAATATTTTTGAGAATATATTTTACTTTTTTTAATATTCCTAACAATTGCAGATACGTCTTGAAACCTTTGGGTACTTTTAGAAACTCGGAATTTTACTAAGAACGCTCAGATACGTCTAGGAGCTTGACCTTGAACAAACCTCCTTAGTAATTAAAAAAAAACACTTTAAATGCAATATTAGGGGTTTCCACGAAATATTACGGTATGATCTTTTTTTGGGAAACCTTGGAAATCTCTTCAGAAACCTTTTTTGAAACATTCTTACAATTTTCTTAAGAAATATTTCCAGAAAAATATACAATCTTTTAAGTAATGGTTTTGCTGGAATTTTATGCAATATCAGCATCATGTGAGCGTAATTGGTGTTACCAGTCGTGGTAATGATGCTCAATGATCATTTCCTGTACACACATGAGGTAGCGTTGACCAGAAATGGTAGAATCAACCTCAAACGTTTCCCAAAAGGGGGTGGATCCAAGTCGTATGTACAATCCGACATGGAAAACCGAACTAACAATAATCTAGAAGGAGCGTCCTAGGACACCCCTCAAAATCTGTTGCAGGTCACCGAGCCTCAACAGGTCTATACCAATAACCTCCTGGGTAAGCTAACGGCTACCAGATGGAAATGGTACAAAAAACTGTTAGAATTTAAGATGTTGATTGCATTAAAAACACGGAACTTTTACAGAAAATGACAAGTATTTTACTACAAGTGACAGTTCGTACAACAAAAATATGTAACATACACGTTACCTACTTTTACAAAACCAAATATGGATGCGTTCGTAATTTCTAACACTCCCTCCAGAACGCAAACCCATTTTACTAATACAGTACAAATGTTTTACTAGTGTAACCCCCTTTGTTAAATTATCTGCTATCATATTGCAATGATTCACAAATAAAAATTTGACTCTGCATTTAACATTATTTTCTGTAAGAAAATGTATCTTATATCAATATGTTTAGTTTCCGTTTTGTAACAGTCTGTATCTGTCTAATAGCACTTTGGTTGTCACTCGAACCTTGGCCCAGTTCTGCCTGTAGCTGCCGAAGCCACAGAGCTTCCGGAGTCGTCGATGCCATCGCCATATACTCTGTTTCAAATGTAGAGAGGGCCACAGTCTGCTGTTTACAGAAATTCCAGGATATGCAACCTCTCTAAAATTTAAAGCTGTCACCGGTGCATGATCTCCTGCCCAATGGATTACTAGTACCGTCACAATCACAGTATCCAGCTATTTTTCCTGGAATCCTCTTTGACACAACATAAATTCAGGTTCTAGGTTCCTTGAAGCTATCTCAATTCTCCGTTTAATTCAATTTTAAATGGAACATTGTTCATCGGGGTCCACTGCCGGCAAGCTTGCTTCAGCCCATAAATAGGTTTATGAAGATAATAAATCATATATTCCAGGAGGCAGCGACAATTTTTATGCACTCATTTCTATAAATAGTGTCTACCGCGTCGGCAGTGTTGCCTAAATTGCAACAATGTTCTGAACATGTTAATAAATAATATGTACATGCCCTATTTCTACAAGAATGAAAATTTGTACAGTAATTAAATATGGTAACAGTCTACCGAGCTGGAAGCGTTGCTATCACAAGTCTACCACCCACGCAAGATGCATAAAAAATTATTCAATTGAACTTATTTCTGCAAAGATGAAATTTTTGTTTCAAAAAGTTGATGTCATAAGACATAAAAAAAAATTGATCTACCGATCGCGTGATGTTGATAAGGTCTAGCTAGACACCACGCTGGCAGTTGCAATTTTCCGAGCACAGCTGCTGCACTCAGAGACTTGCTATAACTAGACTGCGCTTAACGTATCTAAGGTGTTGTCGACACAGTATGCAACACACAATGCACCGCGGGGCAAAAATCGCTGAGATGATATGCAATATAATGAAATAAGCTGTTATTTTAGATGTTCCGTTCATTAATCATTCTCGTGATTAGCTCGAATTAGTGAACAGATAAATTTCTGTTGAGAATAAACCAATAAACTTAGGTTAACTTGTGCCTATCAACATGTACTCTGTCGATAAATTTTTAAATAATATGCTGATTTTCAACGGATAAAAGTTTAAAGGGCCCATGGATCAGAGCCATTCGAAGAGAAAAATTTACTCCCACCATAGTGCATTTGCGGGGAATGAAGCCGATTTTAGAAAGGTACCTACGAAGGTGTAAACAATAATGCAATACCGAGCGTTTTCGACTTTCCCATTCACTTAAAATAACGTAGAACCGACATCCTTTACCAGCAAGACAACGGCAATACCTATTTACCTATTAGGTATAGACGT